TCCCTATTAGGCGTAAGTGCGGTATTAGCACAATGCGATGCATCTGGATGTGAACGACCAATTGCATACATGTCCAAAAAGCTAAATAAAGCCCAACGTAACTGTTGCGCTATTGAGCTTTTTCAATAGCTTTCACAAGGAGAAATAAATAACTTTATTTTATTTCTTGTGTTCCAATTTATTTATATATTTATTATAAGTTACGAAAAGCAGGCAGACTCGAATTGGTCTGTGTTTATTATTTAAGAACAATAGGTTTTGTAGGCAAGCGAACCCGAATTGGTACGTGCCGATTTATGTTTTTATAATGCAAGTGGCCGATGCGTACCAAATGCACGAAGCGAACGAACTTAACTAGCTCGACTCGCAGCACCGAGGCCTTCGCATAGGTTAATGCTAGGGCAATAAATGATCATTACAGCGAAGAGCGCTAGCTTAATGTAAATGTAATCACAAGAGCAAAATTTAAGCAGTTGCTTCGCAGAGGAACTATTATAAGATAAAATATAAGATGCTGCTCTTATCAGTTGCGAGGTCGCTCCAGCTGTTTTGGCTGCGTAGCCAGATATTCTCCCCCCGTTGGAAGACTTGGTCTTTCAACTCAGTCCTTGATGGGCAGTAGGCATAGCTTGTTTGCAGCTCTCCTTGTCTCTCCTGTTGCGGTGTGCAAGATGGCAACGCGAGCGACTCCATCATTTCCCACGATTAGCTCCGTGATCCTCGCCAGTGGCCACCTTAGAGGCGGCAGATTTTCATCCTTTACGTGGACTAGGTCGTTGACACGTAGGCCTGGAGCAGCGTTAATTATTCTTCTCGCCAGCGGGACCAAAACATTTCTTGGAGGTGTGTTACGCGTTGCCAGCCATCCAGACGATTGAATTGAAGGTGCATCTCATCAGGCTCAACGAACGATGAGCTGGGTCCACCAATCAAAAAATTAGCTGGAGTTAACACATCTAGGTCTGCTGGATCTTCTGAAACAATGGCCTGGAGTTAATTATCGATGCTATGTGGCAGACTAGGGTGGGAAGCTCTTCGAAGTTGAGAACACAAGAGCCAACAGCACGATAAAAATGGTGCTTCGCTGTCTTCACTGCTGCCTCCCAAAGGCCGCCAAAATGTGGTGAGCTAGGGGGAATAAATTTCCAATCAATGGAGTCAGCCATGCAAAACTTGTGCACTGAGTCAATATAATTGAGACTGATGAATAGACGCTTGAGGTCCAGAAGCTCGTTCTTGGCGCCGACAAAGTTGGTAGCGTTATCCGACCATATCTGAGATGGCCTGCCTCGAGTCGATATAACCCTCTTGAGCGCATTCAAGATTGAAGCCGTCGACAGATCCTTGACCAGCTCAAGGTGAACTGCTTTAGTCGCGAAGCAGACGAAGACGGATATGTAACATTTGACTGGAGCTTTGTTTCGTACGTCTGGCTTATAGAAAAATGGTCCATAATAGTCAACGCCAGAGACTTCAAAGGCTTGAAAAGCAGTCAAACGTTCTTTGGGAAGATCAGCCATTATATGCTCTACTAATCGTGGCTTGGCACGAAAGCATCTCACTCATTTGCCAACCACCTTGGATACGGTCTTCCTTCCACCAATCGGCCAATACTGCAACCAAATATGAGCCAGAAGTGCCCGTGGACCATCTGTGATGGGATGGTGCCGAGTTTTTCAGGCGCCCATCAACTCTAAGAATGCCGAACTCATCCAAAAAAGGGTTAAGTGATGCGATACAACTGGATGGCTTAACAGCTCTTCTCGATCACAGTGATTTAATCTCTTCCCACAGGTGTGCACTCTGGACGAGCCGCAGTAAAAGTTGGGTCCCATATTGTATATCACACACTGTCAGTCCAGGATGCCTGCTTCTGTGTATGAATTTATAGATATATGCGAATATACGGTGCATTGTATCAAATGAGTTAGCGTATTTACAAGTGGCAGATATTTCAACGAAGGGAGATGACGAAACAAGGGCCTTTTTCTTAGCTCGACTTCTGGCCTTTCTGGCAAGCAAGAAGCAGGCCAGTCCAATTTGTTTCCACATAGAAATTCTGGGCCGTTGAACCACAGTGACGATTGATTTAATTCACTGGGTGTAGATCCTCTCGAGAGTAAATCTGCCGTATTGAGTGAAGTAGGAACGGAGCGCCATTCCATGCCATTTGTTAGTTCTTGAACTGCTGTAACACGATTAGCTACAAACACATTGAGCTTGCAGGGCTCGGTCTTTATACAATCAAAGAGTTCCATTTTAGATATCTAACGCGTGAGATTAGCTAATAAGATGGCGCCACAGAGCTCTAGATTTGGAACTGTGATTGTTTTCAGTGGAGCGACACGCGATTTGGAACACAACACAGAGACGAGGAAATTTAAGAAATTGTGCTTTCTCAAAACTGCAGCAAAGATCATTTCAAGCTGTTGCTAGTGATGACGGCAGGCTCTCGTCCCAATCAAGCTTCTCCTTCCAGATCTGCTGCAGAAAGATTTTAGTCTAGCGATTACCGGCCCTATAAGTCCAAGCGGGTCATATCAGCGAGCTATAGTCGACAGAATCGATCTTTCAGATGGTTTGGATCTCTGCTGAATGGACGAGAACGAAAATAGCAACCGATCCAACGCTGAGTCCCAAGCGAGTCCAAGAGTTTTGGCGATGCCGCTCCCATCATCAAACTTAAGAGACGATTCTCTGTCCTCTTCGGGTATCCCTTCTAGAACAGCATCATTATTTGAACACCATTTTCGCAGCTTGAAGCCCCCACTTGCCAAGATTCCAGCCGTCTGACTAAGAATTTCCTTTGCTTCTTGAATCGAGTCACCACCTGAAATGAGGTCGTCAACGTAGAAGTCACGCCGCAGAATGCGAGATCCAGTTGGGAAGTTAATTTCCTCATCCACAGACAGCTGATGCGTAACACGGACTGAGAGAAATGAAGCTGGATTTGTTCCGTATGTAACTGTATCCAGCTTAAAAATCTTTACATCCTGTTCTGGCGTGTCTCGCCACAGAATGTATTGGAGAAAATCGTCCGGGCTGCAACGCGTACGCAGCGATACATCTTACCAATATCTCCTCTTAGGGCGACCGGGAAATTGCGAAAGCGAAGAAGGATGTGAAATAACGAGCTTTGAATAACTGGACCAGCCATCAAAAGTTCATTTAAAGAATATCCTGACGAGGTAGCTTCGGAGCCGTCGAAAACGAA